TTTTAGAAGTAAGAGAATAATTATTCTGTTGGACGTGATTAAATAATATGCAGTGAAGATTTATTTCCCTAGGTTAATATAGGAATAGTTTCATTAGCCCTATAGTAAAATAAGTTAGCATAATAAAATGACAGGTAACACCTCATTAGTGTTGACAGCATTCAAAATCCTAACGCTGAAAGGCAAATACTTTCTCAGTCGTTCTAAATTTTCACCTTTGGACAGAGACCAAGCATCAAAACTTTCATATAAAAAGTATTATTTGGAAAAGTTAGAAGAATGTCAAAAGAGTCATAATAAAAAAGTTTGGAATCCTAACTATGTACAGGTACTGTTAGGTATCTATTATAATAATTTAACTGAGCATTTTGCTAACTTTCTTCTTCTAATTTCGTTGTCTTTGAATGTAAGCAATGGTTAGGCTTATTATTCATCCATTGGAAAGACAAACTTTGCTCAGAGAGACTTGATCAAAATAGGTTTTAAACATAAATATTCAAATGCAACTCTTTCTAAGACATTTTATGCCTCTATAATTTCATTTCTTCAGTCATTAGGAAATGAACTTCTGTCCTGCCTAAACTGGGACCACTTTGCAATGTAAAAATGATCATATTTATAATGTTTTCATATTATGAATTTTCATATTTGCTCTTTAAAACGGGTACTTTTTGAGTCTTAGACACTAGGTATGGGAAAGTATTGTGCTCATTAATGATGGGAGGCAAAGAATGTTGCTGTATTTCTTTGTTTCTGGAGAACCAGTAATGGGCATAGGGTTAAATATGAAGCTATCCGGCCTGTAGAGTTTATAGACAAAATAGGAAGGTGAAATGGAGAAGTTTTGCATACCTTATGGTAAAAAAAGCCTAAGAAGGAGTTGTAGTTATCAAGGCAAGAGTCAAAGCAAGAGTTAATAGCTGAGGAAGTGGTTTTGGCCCTCTTTCAACAAGGCACATATTTTTCATATGCTTAAATTTTTTATTGAATAAATCAGAACCAGTTTTTGGAAGAAAAGAATAAGGCACATTTTCAGTGTTCTGGAAAAAAAAAAAGTGGGCAAAATAGGTTTTTACCTGGCTATGTTAGAAGAACAGGGAGAAATCAAATATAAAATATGTACTTCTTAACTATTGCAAAATCTTCTGGGAATTATTATTTCTCAGGTACCATTAATTGTATTTCCTGTGCCTTTGAATACAGTTACTTGCCAGTCTGGACAAATCTCTCTAGAAAAGGGATCACAAAACGAGCTTACTTTATTCTTGTCATCTTATTGCTAAGTAGGTCATTTGCAATTTCTGGGAAGAAGGACAACATAAACCTAAAGAAAAACACTTCATATAGAAGAGCTTGAAAGAAATGAATCCTGGCAGTTGCTTCTAATGTCTTTAATAAAATGTATCTTTCATGTTTCAATGGCTTATGAGTCTTAATCCTCATGATTCTTTTAACCTAATAATTGTGAACAGCTTGTGATTGACCATTATAAAACTAATGTCTTCCAGCAATAACAACATCACTGTAGACTTAGACTACAGTGCGAATCCTGCCAAAAAGAATTACACTTTCTGCCCTATCCGTTGGATCATCATTATATATTTGGGAATATCTTCCCTTTTTTCCCTCCTGCTCCCAAGAGACCAAAAGCCTCAGAACAATTGCAAGCATTGTGATGAAGCCTAAAAGCTTATTTTTAGCAAGGTTTTATTGTACTGTGTATGCACCCTCCCACTGATCTTGAATGGGAATTTCCCACATAGAAGCACTGCATTGAGGTATTTCAGTGTACAACTGTAACATTGATTCTGCTGACACAACATTTTTTTTACCTAGATTAAAATTGTTCCTAGTTTTCTGGCTAAATCACATAGCTTAGTATTTATTAATGTCTGTTATGTCCTTCTTTTCAGTATTTGTATTAGGAACAGTTTTGGTTACACATCCAGGCAGCCCTGGTGCAGTCTTAAATGAGTCTTCATATCTGTGTTGCAGGCGTCTTAATCCTTTAAAAAATGTAAAATATTTTTGCTTTTATTGTAACAATTGTAGGGATTGAATGCATGTGTGTGGAATTTAGCAATCAGTTGCAGCTCATCTAAGAATTGTAATAAATTTACCTATTCAGCTAGAGGTGGTGCTTTAAACTTTAGATCCTTTCACTTTTTGAGGGGAGAGGGGATCAAACCTCCATTTTCACCCACTTCCCCAGCAGACGCATACATGTAAGGATTGGTGTTTTGTCATGTGTAAAGATTATAAATGGAGAACTGTTTGCTGTGTTAATCCAAGAGAACTGTGTTTTGTAGTAAGAAATTAGTTAAGAGGTGGTACAAATTTGTGTTGGGTCAGGGAGACCATTCTGTTTGAAAGAAGAAGAGCAGTTCTTTTCTGAAGAGAGTTCGTTCGTTAGTTGCCCACTTGCGTTTTTCAAGGGATACAGCACTCCTTCACCCATTCCAGTGCAGGCCAGTGGTATTAACAGGTCAATCCTGTAAATGGAAGGTGGAGTAATAACTTCTGCCCAAGTTCATGTCTCAAGCCAAGCAGAAATAAATAATTTGGGCTCTTTTGGGCTCATCTTTTTTGTGATGGTTTAAATTATTTTTCAAGTGTAGCTTTTTTTTTCTTTAATGGAAATGGAGGTGTATCTTAACGACGTGACCTCAGGAGCCAGGACAGAGGCTAAAACTTCCCAAGAGCTTTGGCCAAATTGAACTTCGTTGCTGCAAGGATGTATGGCTGAGGCCCATCAGGGCTGGATGTCTCCTTAGTAGAGAGGATGAAGGGGGTGGAACAGAGCTCCCGAGAGCCAGGCGTGCCGCTTCGAGGGGCGGCACTAGTACTTCTGAAAAGGCACTGCTGATATACCTTGAGTTCTTCTCCATCTGCAACAGAGATGGAAGAGGTGTTTTTCAATAATTCTGGTATAGACAGCTGGCCTTGGTTGTTTGCTGTTGTAGGCAGCTGCTAAAACCATTGGCTAGTTCTTGAAGAAAAGCAGCATCTGTGACAAGAGATATGCAATGGGATCCTAGGAGTCAGCAGTGCTGGCATAACACTTTTCATTTTGCAATGAGATGGCAGTGACATTGTTTCTGTCACCTGCTTACATGTGGCATTAAAATGGTTTAATGTAGAAGACAGCAATTACAAAGTCTTCTGTGGAATTCTTGCCCAGGGAACCAAATTAAAATTGGTACTTAATTTTCATGTGCATTTTTGAAGGTGGGTTACCAGAGATTAATGCCTTTATTGTAATAAGTTCAGAAAGTATTTAGTTGTTGCTGCAGATACAAATGAACAGAAGTTAACAGAAACAATTGTTCATGAGTGTGTGGGGAGATAGTGAGATGTCTTTGTCTCAGCTGGAGTACAGTGGTTTGGGATAAATTGAGGAGTTTCAAGATCTTAAAACAGAGAACCTGTTCAGAGAGTTCACAACCTTTTTCAGAAACCTGTGGTCAATATGAGTGGTATTATGCACTTAATATGCTGGGAAAAATACTGAAAGTTTATGGAAGGAAGTACCTTTGGAAGAGAAGATGTCTGACTAGCTTATATTCTAGCCCTAAGAAATCTGCAGCGTTGTTTTCTAAATGGGTTTTATTCGCCAGTTTTTCTTTAATCACTGTTATTCTCTCATCTTCTCAGTCTCTACCAGAGGTGAAATTCTGACCTAATTAAAGTTAATAGGAGATAACTGTTGAAATGGGAGTATTCAGAATTTTGCCCATACTGTTTAGATGTTTTTACTTCAAATATGAAAATAATTAGGGTGTGAGAGCTGACTGTGGTAGCAAGGCTAGACAGGCAAAGCCATGAAAAGAGGATGACAACAAATAATAAGGTATAAAGAAGGTTATTTTTTAAGATGAAAGATGAGTTAAATTTAGAAGAGCAAATAATATTTTAATAATAATCCAAATCTAAGAAATTTCAGTGAGTCAACTTGTTTCCTCCCTTACATGTAAAAAATGTTCAGGGATTAGTGCACTAAATAGCTGGGCAAAATTATCGTGAGTTATATTCTGGGCTGTATCTAGGCAGGTGAGGTGTAGCAGGGATTGTAATCAGGCCGACTAGGCATTTTTTCTAGAAGGACCTGCCTATTGTTCAAGGTGACTATATGCAAACTGAAGAATGCATAGGAGATGATAAATGAAAATTAATCAGAGATGAGGTGAATATTTCCTTACTCTGGCATGGTTTTAGAAGTTAGACGTATGTATAACCTGCACCATCAATAAACAAAATGATCCAGAGGAACCTGCGGTTTCATAGAGGCTGCAGTGATCAGTGGCGTTGATCAGTTGGCTTGAATTTCCTCCAGTGAGGAAAAAATGAACAATCAGTATGTTATTTACCTATGAGTTTACCCTATGAGGTTATTCTTTCTGCAGCATGACCGCTAATGTCATCTAGAAGGACCAGCTTTGGCTGAGTCCTACAAAATAGGTATTAAAACAACGTCTCAGAACTCGAAGATTTAAAGTGAATCAACTTCCTTTTTTTGTTTTTAATAGATTTTCTTCTAGTTTTGATTTTATATTTCCTCAAATGGCAAATTATTTGCTTAAGGCATTTTGCAAAGTGTGTCTTGTCCTCAGGGCCAAATTATTTTTCACAGGACAAAAAGTTGTCAGTTTCCAAAATAGTATTATGTGCGGTCATAATAACTCATTTTATAAATTGCAGCTGTCTTTGATGTTCATACTGCCATCCTTTAAAGTATAAATTGATTTTAAGAATAATTTGGTGAGTTTTATTTTTAATTAATAGTCTGTGAATATCAACCACATCTCTGAATTTTTGTTTCCAGTGGTAGATTTATATTAGTGATTAATAATAATATATAATCTTTATTATTACTTTTTTCTTCTGTTAGGTATGTGATTAGACAAGTTCATTATTTCTCAAAAAGACATACATGATAAATATTCAATAAACCTTTGGAAATAATTCTCCCTAATTCTTTTTCTTCCCCCTTCCCCCCCCAGTCTGCTCCCAGTTCTCAAGAGGAGTCTTTGCAATTTTTGGATTCTATGACAAGAAATCTGTAAATACCATAACATCGTTCTGTGGGACTCTTCATGTCTCCTTCATAACTCCCAGCTTCCCAACAGATGGAACACATCCGTTTGTCATTCAGATGAGACCTGACCTCAAGGGAGCTCTTCTTAGCTTGATTGAATACTATCAGTGGACCAAGTTTGCATATTTGTACGACAGTGACAGAGGTGAGATATGGTATTTTTTGTCTGTATGCTGTTTGATACATGTATCTCACTGAAATGCTGAATGAGTATTAGAAAAGTGAGCAAAGAGAGGAACACTTACTTACAGCAAGTATAAACTTAAAAATTTAGAAATGGGTTTTTAGGAAAGGATACAAAATTGTTTAAATGAGAGTCAAGTTATTGAAGTATACATTACTAGAATTACAGGCATGTACTAAAAGGGAATGATGAAAGATTACTTACATTTTGGAAAACAGTTCCCATGGAAAGTTTATTTTTAAAAAGAATTATTTAAGGAGAAAAAGAACTTGTCTTAGCAGTTTTTCTCTCTTTTTTTTTTTTTTATGCAACATGTTGCTCATCAATCACACTGAGCTTTTGACTTGCATGCCAACTATTTAAAATTACAGGATCAAACACATACATCAGTAAGCCTACTCTTTTTATCAAACACCTAGTTTTTATGCCACCTCTACAAGTGACTGCCTGTATTCTCTGTTACAGCTTTTGAGTTGTTAAACTAATTGCCCAATTATTGAAAGCCTCCAGATACCACCTGCTCAGAGTTCCAGTTATATTTCAGGAGAGTTAAGGAACATCAAGGGTTCAACTGGCAAAGATTCAGTGCACAAAAATGCAAAATCCATAGTTGGCGACCAAGCGAACAAGAATCTTGGATGCAATCCCTGCTCCTTTGGAGGCAGTCTTTGATAGATACTCAAGTTCCCGTATCTACCCTTCCCTCTGTTGAGCTTGAATTTTTGTTAATAAACCAGAACGTGCCATCTGTAAGCTACTCACTCCAGAGTACAACCTTCACAAGTCCTATACCTATGGCTATGGTAATAATAATATAACAACTTATAAACTGGGAAAAATCACTTGCAAATTGTGGTGTTTTAAATAGTTTTCTAGAAGTAAAAACTGTTCTATTTTGGTTTGTTGGAATTCCATAATTTTCATTCCGTTTTCAGTTTCTTCTTACCTATTGTTGGCTATTTTAGTCTTCTCCTGTTTCCTTTAAAAAAGACTATTTTGTGGCTCGTCCACGTGTTCATTGATCAGGGCTGAATGCTAAATGCACGTTAAATGGTGAGATAGTACTGGCTTTAAGGGAAGGCTAATTTTGTATTACCACACCATAGTTTGAGTAATAGGGCTCACACTGGCTCCTCTGCCTTCTGATACCATTGAATACATTATGCTATTGAAAAGCTGAAGGGACCTCCTTAAAGCAATTCTCCATCAATAGTCTAAGCCCCAAAGTTAGAAAAAGTAATGCTGGTATGCAGCCTCCAACAGTAGCTCTGATGTCATGTATAACAATGAACCTAATCTTGGTTCTCTGCCAGATGTTTTTCAAATTCACATTAGAATCAGAAACGTTGCCTGCCTTTTTAGAACGGACAGATGTGAAGCTAGTTGCTTGGCCACTACTCCATCAATCAGCTAGCAGTGCGAACTGCAGTGTGTGTGTGAGCTGCACTTGATTTATATTTAGGAAATACTGAAAAAAACCCTAGTTCTTCCCATGAGCTGCACTGACTGAATCTGGCTGGGAGTAGCAGCATGAAGTGGTTATTGATAGGTGCCCTTTGGTTGTGCCTTTTTTTCTTGTTTGTTTTGCAAGGCACCCCAGTGATAACAGGCTCCAAGGTGTGAAACTCTTAGCATTATGCTGAGTAAATGTTTGCTCCTTAGTGCTCCCACTGACTGCACAAGGTTAACCAGCACGGTCAAGCAGTGTGTAGTCAGCCACACTGAGGACATCGGACCCTGAATACACAGGGTCCGCATTTCCTCTAAATATTTTGCGTAAGTGTTTATGTAGTGACAGTAGCATGTCTTTAAGGAATGTTACATAGTTTTAAAAAGCTTCCTTTTTCATGAGTGAGGGGAAAAAAAGAGACTTACTCTTCATGGAAGCTGAGAAGGCTAATAGGAATTACAATTTGATGACTTACTCCAAAAGAATCATTTATTGCTAGTTGTAAGGCTCCTCTGTGGTTAGGGGCTGACTGGGTGAAGCGTGGGGCAATTTCATATCTCATTCCTGTCTGTAAGAAGTCAGGCCATTCAATATATGCATGTCCAAGCTATTACTGGCTTAATATGTCAGTTGCTGTTGTATAACATGAATTAGCCTCATTTACCTTTCTCGCCTTCTGTGTGTTGCCTATATTAAACAGTGAGTTTTGCAAAAGGTGATGACACTATTCTGCAACAAAATTGCTAATTCACTTGCCTCTATTCAGTCCTCCTTTTCAAAGCTTGCTGAATTAACAGTTTGTATTAGGAACTGGAGTTGCTAGAGTTTTCCCCACTGGAGAGTCCAGCTTCCTTTACCGCTACCCCAGTGATTCCAAATCCACAGAGGTGTTGCGGTGAATGCTTTTTTTCGTTCTTCTGCGCTGTGATGCTGTCAGAGTAAACTCAGTTATGTGAGGGGGACAAATCTCCCACCAATAAAAGGTAAGGGATCGAGGCAGCCATTTGACATCTCTGCAGAGGGCACCCAAAAAAAGGGAGTCCCCAGGAAAAGTGGGAGATTAGAGGGGAAAAGTATAGAAAGCCTTTGCGATGGATAGTATTAACATTAATAGTCTCTATTAACTTATGTCTAATTGAGATTCCATTCGTCTCAGAGGAAATACATAAAAGCAGATGGCAGGACCTGAAATCTGCTAAATGAGACCTGGAGCAATGATTCAGATTTATGTTTAATATTTTGGTCTGATCCATTTTATTTTCCTTATTTGTTTTTTTGGAAGGGGGAAGAAGCAGCATTGTTAAACACAAAAACAAAATGCAAACTAAAGAGGCAATAATATGTCCTGCAAAATATATTGGATCTTTTCTAGGGTCTCAGCTATTGAACAGTTGCAGCACATCTAAATGAAGCTAAGCAAACATTAAAGTATAATGAAGGATTGTAACATTTAGCTTATTTAAATGAAAAAAGGGATTGCAAAACACAACCCTTATCAGACTAAGCCACCACGCTAGCCTGGTGCACATGTACTCATTCATATATGCAGGAATCCTCCCCGTTTATCTTTAACATGTTATAAATAGTTTATATCTACCCTTGGACTGTAGTTATCTAGTATTTCAAAGTAAATACGCATTTCATGAAATAGAAAATTTCCTATCAGTCTTTTTTATAAGCAACATAGAAATCCACAACTGCTTGAGATAATCATTGAATTTATGCTTTTGGAAACCTGCCATTTTCTTCCTTTGCTGGTGACCAATCTTGTATGTCATTACGCTTTTCACTGGTAAAGTTGAATTGCTAAACAATCTTAATTTCATGGAGCATTTACAAATTATGAGACAAATAAATTCTTAGTGTTTTCTTTCTACGTTTATGGGCATAGCCAGTCTTATTTCTCATGAGAGTTATACGTGAAGCTTCCTGTATGTACCAAGTCAGAAATCTGACTCAAAGAAATGATTTCTTTTGTTCTGTGGTTTCAGGAGAGATGAACTATGCAAAAATACCAATTGGCTTGTGAGAAATGATCTAATATTTTTTTATAATATTATCTGCTATCTTCAAAATTGCTCTCTCTAGAATTCTCTGGAAGGAATTTAAACATAATGGCTCTCATTCCTGTAATGCTGGAAATTGTTAAAATGGTATTTGTTGCATGGCAGGAATTCATTTCCAGCAGTAATTTTCATGTTTCTGTAGTCTATTATTTACTCCTTGAAAGGAAAAACCAGTCAAGTAAAATCTTCACTAATTTTACAATATATTGTAGGCAGTTGCAGCTGTGTAGACATTACAGCTTCCTGGCAGGAATATACCAAAAGGATAAAACGAAAGCAAGCTTCTGTAGACTGCTTGTAGGTGTTAGCATTGAGCCTGCTTATCTGTATGGAAGAACATATTTCAGCACATCTTCTTTTCACAATCAGGGATATGATTGTAGGCAAAAGAAATAATTGGCCAGTTAGCACCACTGCAGAAAATGGGAATTTTGCCAGGGACCTCAGTGGGATCAGAATCAGAGTTTAGGTACCTTACTGTTCAAGCACTGGGAACAGAAACAGTTCAATAATGTTTAGTAAGAAACAACTGATCCTGTTACTGTAATTGGATCTTTCTTTCTCCTCCTAAAAGGCCTCTTTCCAGTGTATACTATTCCAGCAATGGGTTAGTGAAGCTTACAAAATCCCCTTCTGAAGAAAGCTGAAGCAAAACCAGAAGGTTGTCCTAATAAGGCTCTATCTTGATTCCTTGCAGTGATTTAAATTGCAGTTTCACACAGTAAGAACAGGATTGGGCCCACATACATCTTCGTTTCTGAGGAGTCCTAACAATGTGTGACAGGTCAAACAAGTCATGGTGAAATCTTAAGTAAATAATCTCAAGTCAGGTGCTGGAAACTTTTTATTGCTAAAGCTTTATCAGTCATAACTTCTTTTTCCTCTGTGCCTCACTAGGCTTATCAACGTTGCAAGCTGTACTGGATTCTGCAGCTGAAAAGAAATGGCAAGTGACTGCTATCAATGTAGGAAATATTAACAATGACAGAAAAGATGAAACTTACCGTTCATTATTTCAAGATCTAGAGGTAAAAAAGGAAAGGCGAGTGATTTTGGACTGCGAGCGAGATAAAGTCAACGACATTGTTGATCAGGTTTGCTATTCTCCGTTTTTAAGTGACAGCAGTTGGCTGTGTTCTATAAGTAATCATAATGAGTTTATTTCCATTGATCCTATTTTTGTGATCATTTTGCATTATTTGGATGTGACAGATACATATTGATGACCGCATATATATTGGGCAGAAAGAGTTTAAAAATCTTGTAGTCTTTCTCTCTGCACAAAGGCAGATAATTGAATCTGATCATCTCATTTTTTTTCTATCCTGATCATAAAAAAATACCTCTAGTTACAACCTGTCAAGATATTATACTGTCTCGCATAGAGTTCACATGCTACTGTATATAGCGCATTATAAATAGTTACAGCTAGGCTTTGCTCTCATTACAGTTATAAAGTGTTTTCTACTCCTGACACTTTTCCTAAGAACCTTTTTCATATTGTAAAGCTTGCTGTCAGCCCCTCTCTTAGTTTTCATGTTTCAAGCTGCTTGTTAGTCTTAATTGTCTTCAGATCTCTTTTCAGTTTGCCTTCCTCATAAAATGTGTTACCCAGCCTTGAATACTCTTTGCCATAGCTGAGGCCTCTGGAGCTTCAAGCAGAGTAGGAAGATGTCTTTTCTCCAACTCTCCTTTATTATAACTTTATAATAATAAACTTATTTTCCAAAATGATTTTTTTTGCAACAGCATCACACTGTTCTCATTCGAATTCTTGTGTTGCCTATTATAATCTCCAGATCCTTTTCTTCAGTGCTACTGTCTATTTTCCATACTGTCTTTGTATCTTATTTCCTCTTTTCATGCCTACAGAGCACAGCAGAAAGTTAAGAGGATAGCTCCATGCTAGCTGGAGCATGACCGCGTGAGACAATGCAGCATCTGTAGGGCTATATGAGCTGTGTGTAGATAGGTTAGTCAGGTATTGGTTTGAAGGTTTTTTTGAAGGGCTTGTTATTTTGGTCTTTGATATGAAGGTCGTTATGGTTTGGAGAAGAAGTTCTTCCTTTAAGATATTGTAATGATTTTATATAGGACAAAAGCCTTATTAAAGTCAAGATATGTTGTGTCCACGGTTCCCTCATTATCTATTAAGCTAGTACTAATGTCAGAGAAAGGAAAGAAATTGCTTTGGCATATTTTGATTTTGACAAGCCTGTACTAACTGTGTATCATCTTATTATCCTCTAGATGCTTTTGAATTACATACATGATATTCATTATAATCTCCTCTCTGATCTGAAAGTTCGGCTGACTGTCGCAAATTTCTTCACCTTCTCCTTTTACCACTTCTTAAAGACAGGAACTCGTTTTAAACTTTAGTTACTCTCCATTTTTACTATCCTTATTTGTTTAGTAATAGACCTATTACTTCCTTTGGCTTCCTCTATTTCTGTTGCGTCTCTAGAATGTTTTTTCTGTCCTTATTGCCCATTGATAACATCTACCTTGTTTTGAGTCTTACACTTTCTCATTTTACCCCACAGACCTGTGCAACTCATGGATAAACTTTTGTTTCTGCTATTTTGATTTCCGAGTCATCCAAGAACTCTTGATAGCTGTGGATCTGTCAGCCTGGTCATTTAATATAATTCCAAACAAAAATCTAGAATAGCTGTTTCTCTATTAATTTTATCTGTCTCCTGAAATGAAACATTATCCTGAACAATTTCTTGGCTTGTGAGTATTCCTTGAGTGTGTCCTTCTGATTTTCCTTTCGAACAGCAGAATGCATACTTCAAGTCGCTCTTTGCTACCAGATTTATTTTTTAAATAATTCTTTTAATTCCTGACTAAAAAGAGCCTAATCAATTTTCTTTTCTTTTCTTTTTTTTTTTTTCCATGAAGGTGCCTGAAGTAGACCCTTTGTGGTAGTGTCCCATTTCTTTTTCTATTTATTTTTACTGAGAGACATGCAACAGGCTTTCTGTTGAACAAGTTTGTTCTTGAATGCTGAAGTATTCTTGATGTATAAAGCAGCAACCGCTTTTTTTTCTTCCTTAATTTCCATTCTTGAACAGGCCTTTTATTGTAATGCTGTGATTTATCCCAGTAACTTTCTAAGCCGTCGTGGCAACTTCTGTAGTCCTTTGATCTTTGTGCAGACACATGATGTGTTTGCAAAGCAGTGTCATCATTCTTGGTCTTGTCTCTTCTGTGAGCATGTTGGAATTTCTCTTCCATATTTCAACCATGTAAATAAGCTGAAATTTAAAAATATGTTCAATTTACCTGGTCTTGTTAGACTAATTTATATTCCTCTTCTCTGGCTCAGCAAGTCAGTGTCTTAGGATGCTCTTCATTATATAGACTTTATCTCTTCCCAGCTAGCTTCCTTTACAGAATCTCGTTCCTGATAACACCGTTTAGGCAACTTCCATTTCTTGTCTATCCCTGCTTGATCCATTAGTCTTAACTAGGAAGAGCAGTGAATACCCTCTGCATCCACAGCTCCTCCATCGCGGCTTTTGGAGTCACTGCTGAATCTTCTTAGGGTTTTAACTGGCAGCATCCTTGGTGCTCCTGTGGGTAGGTAGTGCAGGGCAGCGGTCTAGAAAGCTAGATTAATGTAATAATATCCAGTGGCCGTTATAGCAGAGTTAGTAATAATTGATCCAGGGGTTTGCAGCTACTGATTGTTTTCTCAAATACTAATGACTAAGAAACATTTAATGTAGAATACCTAATCTCTTTGGTTTACTGAAATTTCTTAGGAAGCAGCAGCTGCCTAAGAAATACTTCTGAGCAGAGTTCTTAAACCTCCATAATAAAATGATGTAATAACTAATGAGTTTTAAGTAGTCTAAACCACAGAACTGTTTTAGAGTCATTGAATTCATATACCAGGTATATATTAAGCTCAAAACAAGAGTAACTGATTTAATTCTTATTCAGTATGATCTCTTTTGGCCTCAAACTCTATTAATATAAAATGTAGTGTTGAAGATTCCTTTAGTTTGTATCCATGTGACTTCATTAAAGCTAATATGTAGAACTCAGTTCAATAACTACTGGCCTGGGATACGTTACAAGATATCTATTCTGATTATTTTAGTTATGTCGTGAGTTAAATGAGGGAATAAATGTATACCCCTTCCTTCTTGATTTAAGTTTTTCTCACTGTTCAAAAGATGGGAGAAACCTCCAGAGTCCACTTTTTTCCCATCTTCTTTCCCTGCAGAGGTATTTTGCTTCAAAATGCAAACTTCCCCATGCAGCCAAGCTTTTATTTAGGATTATTTCCAAGAAGAAACCATGCTATATGGCTATATGCCAGTGGAGACAACTGAGGAACCAGCAGTTGGCTGTGGGAGAGATTATAAGGGAGCCTTAGTGCAGTAAACAACAATTTGAACTTTACATTATGAAGGAATTTTTTAAGATATTATCATTAATGTTAGTGGGCTTTTAAACTGTTTTTCTAGTTCAAGGAATATTAAAAGGGAGCAGAATCTAAGCAGAAATCTCTGAGGCGTAGTGTTTCTGATGGTACCACTATAGGTTGCACGCTCCCTCCTGTCCAGATTTTGCCTTTAATACACAGCATAGTAATGAGCATGTAGTTTCTCTGTTGACAAATCTTGTGACTCAGACTTCAGCATGACTAATTTCCGCAAGCAGAGAGTATGGTCAGTGCTTCATTAGTTAAAATAAGAAGTAAAACATTGAACAAACTCAGTGTTACATATAGTAAAGCCCATGACTAGCTTTTACATCATAGTGCATTTAGTAATTTTTAAGTCTCAGTCCATATATCCGTTCAGCATTCTCAATTAAGGGGATATTTCTTTTTTTACAGGTTATCACAATTGGTAAACATGTGAAAGGTTACCATTACATCATTGCAAATCTGGTAAGCAAATTTAATATTTAAAATACTCCTATTACTCATTTTAATGTTTATAGAAGCACATCAACTGGTATTTTGTTCTAAATACATTTTAGATGATAAAAGCTAAATGTCTTTATCCTTACTGAATGAATGCATGTGTTGAGATTGTGATTCTTATGTGGCTGAATCTTTTCAGGGCTTAAATGCCCCCTGTGACATTCCTGTCAGTGGGAGTGAAGATTACTCAGCACCTGCAGCAGATGTTCAGCCCTTTTTCTACATACTTTAGAAAAAGTCAGGATAGGTAGGGAAATCAGAAAAATAATGTTCCAGATTTTAATGTTCCAGTCCATTCCTTCAGAGAACTGATGTTTCCTCTCTCACCACTGATGTACTTTAAAATTAGAGTTCTCAGCCTTCATTCTGCTAGACCAGCGAGTCTCAGCTTTACACATCCTCATTCCTTAGATTGGCTTGGCAGTCAATTTGAATTAATCTTTTCTTGAACATGGGTAATCAGAAAGTATAGCTAATAGTGTTCCGAAGTGGGAAAGTTAAGAAAACTCACTAAATCCTTTCAAAGTCATTTTTTTGGAACTTGCATCTAAAGATGAACAGCCGTTTTACTGAGGTCAGCAACACTTAATTTACTGCAGTGAGGGAATCTAATCCAATGTTTTTGTAAAAGATAAGGAAGCAAATTCTACAGGCTTAATTTTCAGTTTTGCTGTTCCAGAAAAGAGTTTGGGGTTACATAGTGGAAGTGTCTTTAAATCATTTTTTCATCTCTTTATTCTTGGCCCGTGATAGGGTTTGAATGATACAAATTTTAGCAGAGCTCGGAGTGCTCTAATTTACAGTCTACTTCCCATGATCCTCTGAGGGCTCTGGGAAAACAGGAGGGCAATAGCGTTATCTATCACATTTAAGACATAACGCCTACTTATTCCCAACCTTTGATTAAACACTTCCTTCTGGATAGGGAGTATTCTGTGACGCCTAAGAATCACATATATTGCTAGACGAGTGTAAAGAAGCCTTAACAAGGATTGATGTTTTAAAGGCCTCTTTTAAAGCAGAATAATAGAGGTACATATTTATTAACTAATTTTTATTTTTCTTTATGATAAGTAAGTTAAGTTACTGCATAGTCACAAAATAAGCAAAAAAATCTTACAGCATTTGAAAAGCTGTAACTTTTAGGCATTTGTGTTTTGTACTGCATACACTGTATAAAGAGTATTTTGAGTCTTACAGGAAATAAAATGTTTTAGAAAAATTGCTTAGTCTATTTTATTATGTTGATTTTTTGCTGTTTTAGCCATCTGCTTTAAGTTTGCAAAAGTATAAGCCCATAAAACCTTAAGTTGTTGAATCGTGTATTCCAAAGCTTTTTAATATCACGTTTGCTTACTACAGACCTGTATAGTTTAAATGTAAATATTGCAGGTATTTATATGATACTATATAAAATGTATATGGTAATGATTTTAAAAATGCATTTTTCTTTCTGAGAAAGAAAACTTATCTAATACTTGATCGTATCTTGTCTTCTTTACTGAATCCACCTTCTCTTCTTTTCTTGGCCATAATACTGTTCCCTTCCAATCTGAATAAAACATGCTGACAGAACGAGAAGGAGGCAAAGTATATGAGTGCTCACGTTCAAACTTTAAGCTCACAATAAGATTAAGAAAAGTTTCGTTATCCGTGTCGAAGTGTCTATGTTAGCATGCAACAACATATCACTGATTAGTATCATTAATATGCAATAGGTAGAGTGCACCTAGTATAACAATTGTAGCAACTTTTGCTAATGTGATCTGGGGTTGCTGCTGCTGCTTTTGTTCACTAAGTTTTCATTTTGGTTGTATTTCAAACTCAAAGTATTTGAATTCAAGATTTCATGTAAATTCTATGTTTGGGGAAAGTTACACACAGGACACGAAAAAGAATACATATATTCTGCTGGCCAACAGTTAAAAAGGGAAACCCACATCAGAATTCATCTGTCCAAGAAATATGGCCAAATCGTTCAGTCTTGGCATAAAAATCCAATCCTGGTCGCATTGGCTTCATTAGGAACTCTGTTCTCAGTCTGGTAACATTTTTTTTTTGAATTGATGGGCATTTCTGTTTCAGAGGAAAAATGATTGGAGGCTTTGATTCTTGATAGAGGTTTACCAACCTGCAACTCTTTTGTGTAGTTACAGATACCATTGTAGATATATGGAAGCATCTCAGACTGATAGTTGGTGAAGGTTCGGAATGATGCTGTATTGAATGGAATGGCTGCGAAAATGTGCAGTAACGTCACACTGCTGAAGTCATGACTTCATTTGATACGTATTTGTCAGCAGTAATTGATACAATTAGTTGTCCCTCATTCAGTTTGGATTAAAAAAAACTATTTCAGTCTAACCTGTTTTCATTTTTGTAATGAATATTAGGTTGAAGAAAAAGACCTAGGATTTAAGAGCCAGATGTTTGCCTCCCCCAAAATTTATGGAATGAGACTGTTCATAAGAACAAAAGGTAGTTCTTTATTTGCAAGGGGAAATTGTAAGTCCTTCCACATGCTCCAGGGTTCCTGATTAACAGAGGAAACAATTGTGGCTGTAACTATTCCTGGCTAAAGTTTGCTTGCTTAACTGTTACTCATGGCAATATTCACTTTCTCATCTAAGCAGTCCCATTGAAATTAACAGGGTTGTTTAGGAAAGTAAGCATGGCAAGGATAGCTTCTTTCAGCCCTTAATCTCTAAAGGTGTATGTCTAGTGAGCAACAAGAGACATTGCTGGCTCACAGAGCTGAGGACTCAATCCAGGATTTAAACTTGGATCCCGTTTGAGGAAAACATTGACTTACACTTCTGCAGTGAAAGTCCTACGGTAACTTTTTATTTGTATGTACTATATAGATATCTGCCAGAACTGGTGAAATAACAGCCATTGTTTTCTGTGTCCAGGGATTTACTGATGGAGACTTATCAAAAATTCAGTTTGGAGGAGCTAATGTCTCAGGATTTCAGATAGTTGACTATGATGATCCTTTGGTGTCAAAATTTATACAACGTTGGTCAACACTGGAGGAGAAAGAGTATCCGGGTGCACACACCAGTACGATTAAGGTATGTCTTGCATTTGTTTTAACTCTGACAGATGTAAAGGACATGAGGGAATTGGAAGACAAAGGCAAGAGACCTACAAAGAAAGTCCTACAAAATCTGCCATCTCTGTGCCTGGCAGCTTGTTAGGCAGTTATTTAGGATGTGATAATATATTATGTCATTACTGACATTTGTGGCTTTTTCTTCCTCCATATTTTGAAGTCTTTTAGAGGCAAACACATGATATATAGTTATACGCATGCTTACAGGGAGCACAGCTCTAGAATACCTGTCTACGCTATGTCTAGCATGACATAATCTTCCAAAGAAATGGTAAGATATTTTCTTTTGAGGTAGATGCCTAAGTCCTACAAAGAAGTTAAGATTAAACAGTATGCCTGAGGTACAGAATCATGGTCTGATTCCAGGCTTGACTGGCACAAGATTTGGCATTGAGTAAGTGCTTAAACTTCTTTACCTTGTTTTTTCCCCTCTGGTTAAAACTGGGATAATAATATCTTCTTACCTTATGTGGCTTTTATGAGGACCAGCTAATCCTTGCAAGGCCTTAACAAGAATAATGCAATTCTAATACTAAATAATTGTAAGTAGTACAGGCAGAAATTTAATTAAGAAAGAATTAAGACAAAAAGATGAATGGCAAATGTTGTAGGCATAACTTTTTAATGGTATAATTTGAGTATGAAGCCTATTGATTTATAATGAGATGGATAAGATGTCTGAGCAAGGAATGGGAAGAGCCATTCTGTAAATTCTGGAACAAAAATCCTCTAAATAAGGATTACAATCCTTATTGTACAATCTAAATGTATTGCACAATCTAAATGTAAATTTAAAAAAGTAAAGTGGTAGGTTACTTTTTTTCTGAGGCCAAGTTTTGAGGACTTAGCCAAGGCTATTATTTTTCTGTAGTTAATTTTACATTTAAAAATCTTTCAGACAGAACATGGGAATTCCTCATCTGATGCTTGGCAGAATAAGCTAGAGGCTGTCTCATGCCTTTATATGCATGTATATGTAATGAGAGACCATGTAGCTCTCATTTAGGCAAAAATAAAAGGATGATTTGGCTGTGGATGATTAATGCAATTCTTGTGTGTATTTGTTCCTGATTCTTTGGAGTGCCCAAATCTACCGGCCTTTCCTAATGTTACAGAATCTTAGTTTGGAAATAAACACACTGAAACGGATAAGTAAAGTCAAAAAATCCAACTGAAACCAAGATGCAGTTTTTCTATTTGAAATCAGTGTGACAGTGCTGAGGGAGCTCTTAACTCTCATATTACTTTTAGTAGGGAGGAGATTGCACGTGTGTTGTGTAAGATGAAGTGGTTTTAACAGTTGCAACATTAAAATCTGTAACTTTATTAGTTATTCTCTTTAATTCTTCCATAATAGGTTGTCTAATTGTTGCTTCCAGCTATACTGGAAATTGTAAGGCATGAAAAAGAACATATGGGAAACTTATGTTATTGAGGTTTATTTTATTGTAGATGGGAAAAATAAATGAATTGAATGTTAATTGAAGAATACCTGTAATTTTAAATTCAGTAAAAGGCCTGATCTGATTTTTGCCTTCCTTTATATATAATCTGCACAAGGAATACCCAAGATTGCACTAATAGTCATACAAGATATTAGCAGATATATTAAGTTATCAGATAATTTACACATACTAGAGGTGTTGAAAGGGGGAAAAGTGGATTTATATTGTAATGTTTGGAGAGATTGTATCAGTTACTGTATTTCTTTGTGTGGCTTTCTACCTTATGCACATATTGCTTGTTATTTCTGCCTGCCAATACATGTAAGAACAGAGATATATTATATTTTATTCACATTCTGGAGGGAGCTAGAGGGGCAGCAGAATCATAGAAATAATAGAAAATAGGGCAGGAAAGATGCTTGAGTGGTCCTCCAGTCCATCCCTCCTGCCAGAGGGCAGGATCAAATCTACTCATGCAAGTAGATCAAATCTACTTTGCTGATGGAGAGTGGTTTCACCTCTTCCCCAGTCAATCTATTTCAGAGTTTAAAAGTCTTAGTTTTCTGTTTTTGTCTAAGCTAAATCAGCCTTAGTGTCACCTAATCCATTACTCCTTAGTCTACTTATAATGGATATGAAGAAGTTCTCCTTTATAGCTGTCCTTCTGTATTTGAAGACTGCTGCCTTATTCCGCCTTGCTTTTCTCCTTCATAGACTAAATAATCCACCTTCCTCTGAACTTTCTACTCGCAGATAATGTTGGTCATTGTGCTCTGGAAACTTCCCAAATGGTTACCTATCTTTTTTGAAATGCCAGACTGGGTCCTTAATTTACCTGAGTGCTGTGCTGTCCAAATGGAAACAATGGTTTCATGTATCTCATGGACAGTACTCCTTTCAATATGTCCTTTTATGTTACTACTCTTTTTCTCACCATCATGAGACTGTTGAAATATACTTCTCATGAGACATATACTAACCTCCAGATCCTTTTCTGCAGTGTTTTCCTGGACTGCCTATTTAGACAGTCCAATCTCATATCTGTGCACTTGATCATTCCTATAAAGTACAAGTTTTTGCTTGTATTCTAGTTTCATTGCATTCCTTACCTGTCCATCTTGAACAAGCCATTCCTTTCTATATTAGTATTCATGTGAGTTATCCTCTTCCTCTTGTACAAATATGTAGACATCAAAGTTATTGAGCAGATTGACCCACTGTTCTCCTATTTGTCCCTTTTATAATCTTATAAATAACCTTTCTCCCCTTTGATTTTGAAAGAGTTATCCAAATTGTCATTGTTTGCACATGAGCTTTTGTTGCTAATTCCAGTGTCTCCTAGAAGGGAACCTTTACTACTAGATAGAATAAGTATTATTTAATCATAAAATTTAATTAGAATTCCAAAGTTATCACTGCAAATTCTGTGCAGAACCAACAGGAAAACTAATAGGAGTTTGTGTTATGGTTATATAACTGAAAAGAGGTTATGTGTCCCTGGCCTAGGCATTGCAAATCCTATCTCATTGCAGGCAATAGTGTTGCAAACTGCGTTGTAATCTCTTTCTTTTGTAATCCAAAAGGAAATGCAGGTTCATTTGATACAACAAAATGCAAGGCAATGGATATAACTGACATAATTTGACATGACATGACGTATCACAGCACCCAAGTACAGTTCTGAAAGTGAAAAAAGGCATGTCTTTCTAAAGAAGTGCATTGCTAAGGAACATGCTTACCGAGAAAGATATAGATGTTGAAGCCCAATCAATTCCAAAGACGCCCACAAGACGACCTGGATGGAATTGCTTTAAAAATGTATATTCTACAATTTATGAAGACATTAATTTAAAAAATGTTCCGTTTGAGTGCGTAGATGAGAGTAGGACACCTGATTTTATTACTGCACTGTACCTGCCCTGATAATCTTTAAATCTTGTAGCTGTTTTTACAGAAGATGCTTAATCTACTGCTTTGCTGCCTGAAGGGCAGTGAAGGGAGACTTCATCTGTCAAAAGTGAAGCTGATATACTCAGTTTACGCCAGATTTACCTTGTTTAACTCTGTTGTAACTGTGGGTGTTCTCAGTCTGCATACAAGTGTAAAGAGCTAATAATATGTAGAACTTTGAACCCTACTACTGAGCAGCCTAGCTAATTTCTTTGCCACAGAGCAAAACAAAAGCCCCATTTAATTTTATACAGGCCTAATAATAGTAAGTTTAAGTCCTCTTTAATGCATTATTGTGTATTTACAAATATGCTAGGCCTTCTGAGCCTTGCTGTGTCAGGCTATTATGTCTAAGGCAACCCTCTTACCATTGCAAAAGGACACTGAAGAGCAATGCATTCATTCACATCCAGCTGCTTTGACTTCCTAATCTGATTTACCTGTTCAGTTGGAGCAGCCTTTGGTGCAGTTCCAGGAAGCGATTCAATTCATACCTCTTGAAGGCTAGTGAGACATGGTAAGTACCAAGCTATCCTAGCCTGTGATGAGCTTCCCTAAGCTTGGTGTGTGCAAGGAGTGTCTGAAATAAATTGTATAAATATCACACATATACAGAAACTATCTATGCAGCATGTAGAAGGGAATCTGGGGAATCTGGCTGAAAAACTAAAGCAGTTGAGACTCACAGCAAATACCATTATGTTGGAAGATGATTAGAGCCCAGTACTCACTGCAGCCATTTTCGGTGGCTTCAATTGCTTCATGCTAGTATGGTACGTTTCAGATGTTTAGAATTCATAAGATTATATTTCAGGATTCATAAGTCCTCCTCCCCAGGCACTGTGTAGTTAAAATAACAAAATGATAGATTACTTTTGCCTCTTGATTTTGCCTTTAGTAGTTCCACGCTTTCACAGCTTTTTACAACCAAGTCACCTAGACTCTTAGAAATTATTATGAAATCTATATTTTGTGATGATCATGTATTTTTAGAATTTGAAATTTTACATAGAACTCAGTAGTGTGCTATTTATGATAAAATCACAAGAATTGAAAGCTGGCAATCTCAAGCTGATAAATCAGGAAGAATGAAGCTTGTAACACAAAGCTGGGGTTTTAACTCTAGCAGTGCTAATTTACTTCAAGGATGGCATATGTAGAACACACTTGCAGACAAATACAGAAGTACTTTTTAGCTTGCAGAAATAATTAAAATTTAGATAACTCACTAATAATAAGGAACAAAGAAGAGAACAGTGAAAATTTTTCTTCAAACTGGAAGTTCAGAACATTCAGTCTAGATTTAAACTACTAAGCCCAAAAATGAATGTACAATTTATGAATTAGACAACACCATCATTTTAGGGCATGCTTCTTATGCTTCACCATATTGGAAAATGATTTTATAATAGCAGGCATTTTAATAAACAATATAAGTGGTATTCTGTTGTACCTGCTACAGTTTTAATGGAAAAATGTGATTGATTGTGTCTAAATTCAGGTAATTCCACAGGGTTTATAATGGTTTCTATAAAAAAGAATTACTTAATTTTAGTATTTATAA